GTCCCAACCCCACCTTCACCCTGCGCCCCCCCCCCCACTTGTGAGCCAGAATAGCGGCATCTTTGCCACCCGTATCCCCTGTATAATACCCCTATCAATGTCTTCTCCTGCGGTGCAGACACCCACCCTTATCATCAGGGATGTGGCATCCTCCTCACCCTCCAGCCCCGCCACAGTCGCCACCAGCCGCACACCCACAGGCGTCGGCACGATCTGAGAAGAGGGGTTGGGCGGCAGACAACCGCCACGCTCGAAGGTATAAACTCTCCAAGATAGGAGCGGCCATCTAGCAGAACACATGCGCAATGGCAAAGCAGTCGAGGCCAGCAGCCGGCAGCCGTGTCCAAGGGAGCCCACCTGCAGGGCAGCGCCCGCCCCCAGCCGCACGGCAGGCGCGAAGCGTCGGTGGTGCAGTATGAAGGTGTGCTTGATGGTGGCCCCCATCACGTGCACTGGCACTGTCGCGGCGTTCTTCACCACCAGGCCTCGCTCCACCAGGTGCTGGTGAGGGGGGCAAAGACGGTCGGCAGTCGCAAGGGAAGATTGTAACAAGGGGATCAAGGCAAGGGCGGAGTCCTATTGTCACGAGATGTGCGATGCTCAAGACGCGCGGGGCGTGCACAGCCCTGCGACTCACGGTGGTCCGTGGTAGAGCCACTGCCAGGCACTCCGGCGCCTTCAGGCTGCCTGCCGCAGCGCTCTCGCTCACGCTTCCTCAATCGCTCCAGCCTGATGCACGGTCGAGCCCCTCAGGCACACACGCCACGTGCTCGCAGTGCAGCGCCACTCCACTGACGAGCCCACACGCGTGAACACATGGCGAGCGCACGCACACGAGCGCGCACGGGCATTGACGCCGCGTGCTGGCACCCCCGCCCACACCACACGGCACGCGCGCACCTTGATTAAATAGAAGAAGTTCCTGTGGGGCACCCCCAGCTCATTTGCCAGGTCCGGCTGGACGACCCCGCGGGCCCGCGCAGCAGCCACCCTCTCCAGGACCAGCAGCTGCGCCCCGGGAGGCCC